CACAGTTCGTGCTTCCATATTAAAATGGCCACATCAAGATGTTTCTTTGATGCATGTATGCAGAATATTTTGTAAAGGGGAAGATTTTCTGCAAATAACAGAGCTGGCCTGGGGCTCAATTTCAAGCTTCCATTATAGTGCATTTATGCTCTATTTGAAGCTTTATATCGTCTGATCATTGTATTCTTTCGTACTATGGAAAAGAGCAGCATGAACAATCTGCAAAACATCTTTGAAAGACATGAATATGATTAAAGGGCAGCCTAATCATTTCTATTTTTAGGTGAGTTAAATATTAGCTGCTGGCGAGGCCAAGATGTCATGGGTGTTCTGGCATATATCCTGAACTCTGAAAGCCACCGTCTTAAAGTCAATGAATATTTTAATCCGAGAGCCTTTACAAAGTGTGATATTTTAAAACTGTCTCACCCCTGATATAACGTACAGTGGATTTCCAAAGAAATACTTCCAAAGAAGATACCTATGTAGTGTTTAGTTGTGCACTAACATGGAGAGGCATTCTGGGAGCAGCTGCAAAGGTCACAGAACGAAAGGTTAATTGAGACATTGTGGATCAGAGAGCCAGTTAAAGCACTTCTCTACTCGATAGCTGGATTATCAGCACAGTATAGTAAAATGTCACTTGTAAAATAAGAATAGTGATTTGATACTAGATTATTCATCAATAGGATAATGTTAAAAGTTTAGGTAAGTTTGGTTCTAGGCTGAATCAGAGCCATTTTGCTTTGCTTAGTCTTGTTTTCTGTTGGTTGTGTATGAGAATTGATGTAAAGATGTTTATAGGTGTAAGAAATATAGATTTTGAATGGCAAGATCTAAAACAGGAAGCACACTACAATTTGGCTGAAAGCATCTATGAAATAAAGTGTAAATGGAGCCTGGACGTTAATTGGCTTAGTTAATTACGGAAATGTGCATATATTACATTCATTGTAATACTGTAATATTGTTTTACCAGTGAAACATTTTGCAATGTTCTTAATAGCATAAATAGACTGCTTTTCCTTCACTCAGCTCACCATTAACCAACAGTATAGTTGTTCTTGTTGTGCCAGTCAGCCAGCCTGCATTATCATGACATAATTTTCCTGTGTTTCGTGATCAGTTACATGACGCTTAAAGCATAGATAGCAGCCTTCATGTCGCATACTTCTGATTTTGCATGTGCCAGCCAAGCAACTGCCATTGAGATAAAAGCTAACCAATAGCATTCTCCTGGTGTATTGGCTATACTTGGGTAGAACTTATGTAAATACACCAACAGTAAATAGTACACCTCTGAATTACTGCAAATGTTAAAAGATTCAAAGTAGCAGCAAAACTTTAAAATGAAGAATTACTGAAAGCGCCTGTCACTAGTTTGCCTTTAACCCCAGGTTGCTCTATTTGCAATTAGTGTACTGTTAGGAGAAATGTTCTCTTCATTAAAAGAAGCTACTTTTCAGCTACTAAAAAAAAAAAATAATAATTCAGGCAGACCACAGAGTGACAGCTAGCCATCAGCTGATGTTTTAGCATTGGTTTTCTCCACTGTTTAATCTCCACAAGGTGCGGTCCATTAGATATCACTTTTGTACCATTGAGCAAGTTCTTGACACTAGGTTAACTGGGGAGACTGGTACCATTTCTTTCTTTATTATCATTTTAAATGTAATAAATTGATTCAGTTGTGTTATTGTGGTGGGTAGTTCAATTATTTTGTTTTTGTAAATGTCTGTGTAAAAGTCCCAAATGTCTATTTTGACTTGGTCCTGTTTATTCTGTAAAGCCCTATAAGCATATTTATTTAAATATTACAGTTTTGTATCAGACTGCTCTAATAGTTGAATTAAAGCAGATAATATTGTTGTGACGTTTGAATAATTAGGGGTGTTTTTGTATTGATGTTCCAGTGTGTGTGTTTTTTTTTGTTGCTGTATGTAAACATGCTAGATGGATGTCTTTGACCATTGCTCTTACGCCTCACACTTAACATGACATTCCAAATATATGGTGCTAAAGGTAAAATAAGTTTTATATTTAAAAAACGCATCTCAGATCCTTGCCTTTATTTCTCGTTCTACTGCTCGTCTTCCATTTTTCCATTTGCATCTTTTGCATTTTCCGTTTTTGAAAATGTGTCCTGTATTGGCCCCTTGATTGGCATGGATCTATAAGCTAAAACAGAAGGCTTTGCAAAAAAGCTACTGTCATTTCCCAATATTCTGTATCATGATCTAATTTAAATTCTTTTGCAAATTGAAGTAAAGTACAAATGATGGGTACACTGCTAAGCAGTAATGCCCTTTCAAGTGTCTAATCACAGTTGCTTGCTGACAAAACAGCACAAATGTGACCCTGGACAACAAAACCAGTCGTAAGTAAATATGTGTAGCAATAGCCAACCATATACTGTATGGGTCAAAATTATTGATTTTTCTTTTATGCCAGAAATCATTAGGACATTAAGTAAAGATCATGTTCCATGGAGATATTTTGTAAATTTCTTACCGTAAATATATCAAAATGTAATTTTTGATTAGTAATATGCATTGCTAAGGACTTTTGGACAACTTTAAAGGCGATTTTCTCAATATTTTGATTTTTAGTATCATTTCAAATAGTTGTATCTCGGCCAAATATTGTCCTATTATCCTAACAAACCATACATCAATGGAAAGCTTATTTATTCAGCTTTCAGATGATGTATACATTTAAATATACATATAAATTATGTATAAATCAATTTCCAAAAATTGACCCTTATGACTGGTTTTGTGGTCCAGGGTCACAAATGTGGTATCATATCATCTGTATCGAAAGCTGGTATATTAGCGGCTTATTATTTGCCTTCATGTTGCATAACAATGGCACTTCACTGCAGTTGTTTCAGCCAAAATGCTTAACTGGTTTTATACAAGCCGTAATGTTACTCAACTTTTTCATATTACGTTGCACCAACTAAAGTATTTTTTTAGGTCGAACCAGGCAGAAATAACTGTTAGGTAGCAACAGCACATTTCAGGTCAGGTTACTGTTACTCGTCTAAAACATGCTTTATTAAGGAATAGGCTCGTATTTGCATGGCTGAAGAAACTTTGGGCATCTAATGTAATGTTCATTATAGATTCATATTCATAATGGATTCAATTTCAGCGTTGACTGTCTGCTGAGAAATTGTTTGCAATGACAGTTAAGAGAGTGACAGATGTTATTCCGATAATCCACTTATTAGAAATGCAAGTCTTGATTACACACATTGCTCAGTCAATGTAAAGAAAGTATATTGCTCTATCTGCTGAGAGCTTCATTAATTTCACTAAATTGTATAATGTTTCACACTCTGGTGGTTTCTGCTGGAGCAATCACTGTGGTCTTCTGCCAGTCAGTCTCTCTGTGACTGTGGCATTGAGCTTCCCTCTAGCTTAATTTAATTTGTTCAAGACAAGCACTGCTGCCATGGCCCTGTGTCTTATCCTGGCCTCATCACGAGCCCTGAGCAACAGGACAGTCACTGACCCAGTCAGGACTTCCTTCAAGGTCACATGATGTTTTCAGATAGAAATGACAGGGAGAGCTGTTTTGCTTTGCCTTTGTTGCAAGAAACAGCTGTTCACATACAAGTTTCATTAGTTAAACCAGGTTATTACAGAGCTTTATGGAATATTTCATTCTTGTTCGCCAGTGAACAGTCATCCTCATTTGTGCACATGCCCTCATCAGCCAGGCTGCTTCAGTTGTCACTGCACAGTTTGTTCCCTAAGGTTGGCCGCCATCTGCCACTGCCGCACATGACTAGCTGGTGACCTATAGCCAATGATAAGAATAGCCATGGTGTAGTGTGCAGCTGCAAGATGAAGCCTAACGTCAACTGACATCCTGCTCTCTCACGCAGTATTGTTGTTTGTCCGTGATGAAGCTGTGCTCCCAAAGCAAACATCTTTTGCCTTGTTTTAGATCTCCAAGAAATTCGTTTAGTGGAAAGTCACAGAGCACAGTAATCTTAAAGGGTTACATTTATTATAAGGGCCACTTGTATTGTCAGTGGTGTTTTTTTATGCCAAACTAACTGTCATAATCCTAATTTTTGAACATGACCCTCTGACCCATTTAATTAAACTTGTAGGCGTAGAAGCCATTTTCAATCAGGAATTCCTAAATTTCGCAAATAATTACAAAGAAACAGCAAGTAACACAAATTAAAGACTGAAATAATGTTTTCTTGTAAAATATATAATCTAATAATTTTTTTTTCTACTTAGTTAAAAAAAAAAAAAAACAATGCACTCTCTTCACTTGTGAAATGAGAAACAGGATTGTATTGCATTGCAGCAGGTTTTCTGTCAGACCCCCATCCTTCAATAATAGCCTCTTTGCACTCTTTAAGTAATGTTTTTTAACATTAATTAATGTATTACCACACAAACAAGCTCACAATAGGCATTATTTTTTTACAGCATTCATTAATCTTTGTTAGTTCATAAAATCCAATTGTTTCTTGTTTGTTCATGTAAGTTCACAGTGCATAAACTTTTAATGCATGTTGAAATTCACACATTTAAACAAAATCATGGTTTTTGAATAGATGGACATGCATGGCATGTGAAAATGACAGATTCCATAGTGATGTTTTTACAGACACCCAGTATCAGTTAGACATCGATACAGTCCAGCCAGACTGACAGTGTTGTGAAGACAAAATGTTAACATGTTTCCACCAGTAAAGTTCTCTTGTAGTTATTTTTGCATTATTTATTGTGAAGTACAGCAAGATAAACACAACTACAAACTTTCACTGCAGTTGACGGGATGTTTAATGCTCAGGTGGGAGAACATAAAATGAGGAAGTGCTTGTGTGAACATATTCTGATAATGTTCTTAACACTTCAGTGGTTTTCCATGATATCTGTATGACCTTCAAAAGTGCAGGGTTTCCAGGACACCACGATATCCAGCTTCACTGTGCTTGTGTGTAAAATGTGTCTTTTATCTCCTTGCAGCTGGAAGGTGAAGAGGAGCAGAAGCGGTTTGAAGAAGGGAAAGCACGCTACCTGCAGAACAAGGCAAAGAGACTTGCAGATAAGGAGTGTCAACAATGACTTTTACCATGCAAACACCATATTGTGTTGCAGAAGAAAATTCTTGAATAATAGAGCCTCAACGGACAACATACTGTATTAAGAACCTCTGCTTTATCCTACATGTAGCTCACTGAATAGAAAGAAAAATATATAGGTTTAATTGACTTGTCTGAGTTTACCAAAGCACTTTGTGTGTATATGTATCTCAAGTGAAACAAAAAAGGAAAATATATATTTATGTTTTATTGTAACGACTTGTTTGTGAAATGTGCAGAACTGTATTATGCACTAATAAAAGTCTGCTAATGCAGCTACAACTGGTTTGCAGTGACATATCTGTTCAGTGTACCATAATCGACAGAATGTTACAACCTAATCGCTTTTGTGACAGACAGACTGATAGATAAGCAGACAGACATCTGTGCACCAGTTCACTATCAGTGTTGGGAAGGTTACTTTGGAAATGTAATCGGTTACAGATTACAAGTTACTCTGTTTAAAATGTAATAAGTAGTGTAACTTTTCAGTTACTTTATTAAAGTAATGTAACTGATTACATTTGATTACTTTTCTAAATTTCTAATGTTTTCAACTGTTAATAATTTTCAAACATGTAAACCATGCAGGGTTAACCTTACAGTAGTAAGATTATAATATTTTAATTTTAAAGGGGACATTGGATGCACAATTCACTTTTACATGGTGTTTGCATATGAATGTGTCTTAGCAGTGTGTGAACACAACTACCCTACAATGATAAAAATCCCCCAAAAACCCAAACAGTCTCAAGCTGTTTTGATTTTCTGAGCAGTATGACCTCAGGCCCCACCCACGACCGCTGACATACTGTCCCGTATTTGCATATCTCCGCCCTCAGCCAGTTGTGCGCTGCCTGTCATTTTCTTCGCACTCAAGCAACTGTAGCGACAACAGTCTTTCTAAGCAATGCAGGTGTTTTGTAGTTGGATGTAGAAGAACATCCCGACATCAAAACCACTGAGGACACAGTGGATTAGTTCTGTTGGTGTAAATAGCCACTGCCAACAAGGCGGCCTATTTGCACTTAGTGTAAATAGACACTGCGATTTAGGAATTTCAGTTCATTTATCATAAGGGTAGCTCAGTAAAGACACTTAAACAGGCTTTCATTTGACTTTTCAAAATGCTGATTACAGATATAGTTTGTTTTTTCTTTAATACGACACATGATGCTATCATTTTGTTAAAAAAAAAAAACCTATTAAAGTTTTATTTTAAGGTGATGTTGTTACAATGTAATTAGTAATTAAGTAAGTAATATTACTGAGTAATATTAAGTAACTACATGTACTTACTATAGGGTTAAGGTTAGGGGTTTGGTTTGGGGTTAGTTTCTTTTAAATATGCTTTTAAATATCTACTGTTATTACTATAGAACATACTAAAATGCTCAAACTGGAGTTAGGCTGATATAAAAGTAAACCGCAACTGATTATTAAAGACTGTTCACGCTATATAAAACATGTAATGTACAAACAATGTTAAATCTAAATTTTGTAGGCTAAATGGTAAATGTGACCCTGGACCACAAAACCAGTCATAAGGGTCAATTTTTTTGAAATTGAGATTTATACATCATCTGAGAGCTGAATAAATAAGCTTTCATTGATGTATGGTTTGTTAGGATTGGACAATATTTGGCCGAGATGCAACTATTTGAAAATCTGGACTCTGAGGGTGCAAAAAAATCTAAATATTGAGAAAATCGCCTTTAAAGTTGTCCAAATGAAGTTTTTAGCAATGCATATTACTAATCAAAAATTACGTTTTGATATATTTACAGTAGGAAATTTACAAAATATCTTCATGGAACATGATCTTTACTTAATATCCTAATGATTTTTGTCATAAAAGAAAGATTGATAATTTTGACACATACAATGTTTTTTTGGCTGTTGCTACAAATATACCCCAGCGACTTAAGACTGCTTTTGTGCTCCAGGGTCACAAATGTCCTTTATCACGGCCTCTGTGTTCTGCCATAAGCTAATGATTTACTGCTGTAAATGTGGAGGGGGCATCTTCTGTTATTAATGGAATGTACTCCATAGAATAGTTCAAAATAGTTCTGCAAGCAACCAAAGTAAACAACTAGAACATATCCATATAAAAAATGGAGGCCTGTTACCATAATTTGTACAGTATATCTAGTCATGCCAAATTTAGTCCAAAGTAGGGAAAGTGGTGTTTATACTGAGTTGAACTCTGTTCTCATGGGAGTACATGGAAAGACATAGGGATGAACAAGGAATTTATTTTAGCTGGGAAGCTGCACCATGTGACAGATGGTAGTGAGTGACATTATTTCAATTTTCTGTAATATTGTCTTATTTTAAGACAATGGAATGGGAGTACTATTCATGTATTGTTTAATACATTTTTAGTGTTAATCAATGATTTGTTTGATTAGAGAAAGGCTCAGTCATTAAAAGCTTCTAATACATGCTTGCCTAACAGAATGATTCAGGATGATTTTAAATTGGTAATTGGTTTAAATTGGAAAGCTTCCCTCTGTTCTTGTTAGTTTGCAGTTTTGCTAATGTTACAAATGTAAAGCTTTTATTCACAAAATTAAAATGATCCTATCAAAAATTGATAAAGGCAACAAAATGTGAGTGGTACTTGCCATTGCTAATATTTGCAGCAATATGCCAGTGCGTTGCGAAAGTATTTTGAATATTTGTAGTGTATGTTACTACTTTAGGTATTGAGATGAATGAAATATGTTGTGTGATGTGATGTCAGACAAAGATCATTTAACACTACTAAATCACAGACATCATTTTAGTTCAGTGTATAGACTAGGCCATATCCATCTGTTCTTGTTTTTTTGAGAGATGTGCCAAAGATGCCAGCATTAGAGAGGGAAGGAGTCATGCTGGGTTTCTCAGCGTGTAGATAAGCAGGTAGGAGTGCTGCTGTCTGCTCTGACGCTGAAGTTCTGGAGATGTCCCCAGAGCTATGAAGCAGAGCAGAAGAGGAGCGGCTGTGCCTGAGGCCGGGGTGAATGAGTAGGCTGGATGTTTGCTGTCATGTTTTACTTCCAGGTCACCTGGCTCAATGCAGAAAGAGGGAAGCATTGTAATCATTTCCTGTTATTCCTTATATATTACTGCTTCTCTCGCTATTGATATTCAGTGCAATGTCAGACTCCTGCCTTTTATTTCCCTGGAATCAAATGAATATTTCATGTGTTGTAAGAAACAGCTTCTTTATATAAAAGCTGTGCAGCTGAACTAGAATCAAGCTGTGTAGAAAATACTAATGTTTTCGAATAGGAGTCAGGCTAATATAGCTAAAGTAAACTGCAAATGAGTCTTGGTTTGTTCACTCATATAAAATGTACAAATCCTGTTAATCTGGGGCCAATTCTGTAAATGGTAAGTGTCCTTTATCACGGCCTCTGTGTTCTGCCATAAGCTAATGATTTAAAATGTAGAGTGTGTGTCTTTGAGTCATTAATGAATCTTTTCAATTAAAAGGATAGTTCAACAAGCAACCCAAGTTAACAGCTACGACGTATTTATATAAAAATGAAATGTCTGATGATGCAATACTGAATTCTAATTTATATAATGTAATATGTAATGTGCATTGTAATTACATCTGTTTATACGAATGATACAACTGATACATGCCCTGCAGAATGTTATAAGGGGGACAGGTATAGTGACTCGCACTGCTATGTACAATACTATGTGTTTATGCAAAAGTATGTGCTGTATTTTCAATTCAAAATGATTTCCTCCATGCGATTCCTGGGGAAGAAGGTTATTATGTAATGAATGTGCAGTCAGGCTTCAAGAGATGTTTGATTCCATAGTACAGCGTCCAATTCTTACACACTGTAGCCCAGGTCAACACTCTGACAAAGCATCAAAAGCTTCCATTTCAAAGCAGTATCTTTCCACATCCTTGTAATCCTTACAACTTTCTTAACAAATAAAGTATTATATTTTCACAATGATCACATTTGCATTAAGAGTATTACAATAGGTTGGGTTCTTTTTCAATCAAATCCCTAATAAAGGCAATTTGATGGATGAAAGAAAAAAATAGCCACACATAAAAACTGTTGACATTTTTTCAGAACATGACAGAGAAACATGGAGTATTTTTTTACTATATGTACTGCTGTGATCGACTGGCCATCTGTCCAAGGTGTTTCCCTGCCTATGGCCTGAGATGAAAGGCTCCAAAATCCCCGACCCTACATATGACAAGCGGTTTGGAGAATGAATAGATGTTTTTTATTTATTTATTTTTTTTATTAAGAGATGATGTATTTGCATGTATTTCCATAATGACTGGGTCTAATTATGGTAAGCCTTTTTTTTTTTTTGCCATGGTTGATCCATTGAAGTGGACTACTATATAGCAGTGGGCACTGGTGTCAAAAGTATTCACATTCATTACTCAGGTAGAAGTATAGATACTAGGGTTTAAAAAGACTTCTGTAGAAGTTGAAGTATCAACTCAAGCTTTTTACTCAAGTAAAAGTGTACATGTGCTCAAGTGTTCAAAACTACTTAAAGTATAAAAGTAAAAGTAATGTAAGGAAAAAAATGCCATTAAGGACAAAAGCTTAGGCCGCGCCACAGGGGCCTATTGTGCACTACCCCACCTCCTCAAAAAAACATTTTTCTAAAGGCCATAATGAATAATGTTATATTAAAATGTACATGTTGAAAAATGTGGGATGCACTAGGCTACCTGTTTCAGCCGCATATATGCCCATTGAAAATGAACGCATTTTAGTACAATGCAAATACATTAAAGAACCATATATGTGTACTACTGAGCATTAACGTGTTTCATGGAGCGGAAGATATTTTTTTTTTAACGATGACAAGCCGGAATGAAAACAAGCCGAAATGAAATAGGAGTAACGAGGGTATTTTTAAAATGTAAGGAGTAGAAAGTACAGATAATTGCGTGAAAATGTAAGGAGTAGAAGTAAAAAGTCGGCTGAAAAATAATTACTCCAGTAAAGTATAGATACCCAAAATTTCTACTTAAGTAAGGTAACGAAGTATTTGTACTTCGTTACTTGACACCTCTGGCAGTGGCGCTATAGTCGCCTTAAAGGAAGGTCTTTTCATACATTAAGCAACTCGTGAAGAAGGAAATCTTCCCAAAGCGTGTTATGTAACTGTGTGATAATGTCAATGAAATAAGAAAGACAACATGATGGCCACGGTTTGCTGTTCTCACAGGAGTAATGTAGGCTAGTTCATTATTTTACGGCTCTCTTGTTTGTGATTGGACAATGGGGGCATTCGCATATGCAGGGGGAGATTGATTGATTGATGTTTGTATGTATGTATGCACTGTATGTGTTTGTGTGTGTAATTATTTATTGATTTAGTTAGATATTTAGTTAGTATAATGATGATGCTATAAGTGTAGGCCATAATTAACAATTGTACCACACGATTCTTCTCACATAATAAAATAATTTTTCCAAAATTAATGTATATTTATTTATTTGCTATAGTCGAATCAGCCTTTAGTGTCGCTGGCATGTGTTGGTTTTACTGATATTTATTCTCCAAAAAAACACTAAAAACATCAGTGACAGGTGAAAATAACCATTCCACAAAAAAAAATATTAAAAATAAATAATAAAATAAAAATAAATAAATAAAAATACCGTGGTGCGTTTTTTTTTTTGTGTGTGTTTTTTTTGTTTGTTTGTTAAGCAGCATAAAGGCAATATAAAGCCAATTATAATACATATCATATATATACATAAAAATTAATTTAATGTAACCTGGGCGAGTTTTACCAAATTAAACTTCTTAAAAAGTTGACTCATTGACGTTCAGAAACCGTGTATGCGCTAAAAGTACTGATTTTCGAACCTCATCTGGTTACAGTCAGAGAGAAAGAGAGAGAGAGAGAGAGAGAGAGAGAGAGAGAGAGAGATCTGATCCCAGCCTCCCATCATCTGATGCTCATTCATCCTCCTCCTCCTCCAGCAAGACCTCAATGAGACGCCGCGATAACGGACTTCATCGCTCTCCTCCATGAATTCATCGTCTGTTCACCTCTGGACGCGTAAATGGTGGTCTTTCTTCAACAGTTACTGCCACATTTAGCCATATTGTTTCCGTTTCTGAAGCGCTGTTCTCGTGTTTGGAATAAAATAGCGCACAAACCGAAACTGAGGAAATAAAGGTTGACAATGAAGCAGCAATACATTTGAATCTGGAGATATCGACGGATATCTACAAAAAGGTGGGTTAGTAGGATAACATTTCCTTTCGCAAACCACTTAAACAGTCGATATAATCTGTGCCTAAATGTCTGTTTGTGATTTTTATGATGCATTTTTGAGCGTAACACGTTCGTGCATTTTGATTTAATGCACAAGGTTTAAAGACTGCTTTAATGGATGGGTTAAAAACATTTCACGCGATTTCGTTCTTTCGATAGCCTGTAAGAAGCTGATAGGATCAAATGCGAGTTGAAGAGAGAAGATATAACTGAGGCTTCATTTAATACAGTTCAACGTTATCACATGTGACATATCGCCCACAGAGCTCACATTACGGACAACATCATAGACTACACTGAACACCTACGACTGCAGTCAACTGTTCATTACTGCAAATGCCGTTCATTAAACTGCTTCATTTGCGTTTTAACGATCGGTGACGAACTCTCGTTTCTACTACAATTAACAGTTTGCAATTAAGACGTCTCAAATGGCATTAGGATTATAAACGTCTAGTGTAAGCATATTGACATCAGCTCCCTTCAGCTGACTGTAAATGGATGCGTTTAGCCATCATCTGCGCGACAGTCAGCACTGAAAAAAACAATAATGTGTAAGATTCACTTAATTTTTATTTTGCAAGTTTGTGCACGTACATTTTAAGTAAAATTTAAGTATTGAATCAAGTAAAATCTACTTAACTAAGTTAGGTAAAATTAGCTAAGGAAATACGTGAAATTAACATGGCCAGTTAGAGTTTGATGAGCAATTTCTACTGAATTATTTTAAGTTAAGTCTGCAATACTCAAGTACATTTCCCTCAGTTATGGTTTATAAAATGTACTCAAACAATGTAGCACAGGAAAACAACCATGCTATTAAAGCATGTTCACTTGCAAACATGTAAGTAAGCAAGTAGACAACTTGTTATCCTTTGAAGATATGTCCACTCAATATAATTATTGCCCAAATGAACACAGACCTCATGACGGTAACAATCAGTGGATAGTGTTTGAGTATAAATGGGTCATTTTGAGTAGAAAATTAACTCCAGATATCACAAAACAGTAAGTTACTAAACCTAACGACAAAATTAACCATAAAACAGTGTAAATACAACTTGAAAACAGTGAAAAATTTAACCTTTTTAATTATTCATGCTCCCAGTGCATGATGGGAAATACGGGATCATAACTTTGATATTTACTTAAAGAATCCTTGTAAACATAACAAACAATTCCAAGTAAAATATATTTATAATTTCAAACTTTAATTTCTACAAGTTTAAATTGAGTAGTAATATAGAATTTACTTTTTTTTTTAAATTCTTGCCTGAAATAAATTATTTAATGTAGAAATTACATTTGTTTTTATGTAGTATTTACTTCACCACAAATTATATTAAGTATTAACATATTACAGGTAGTATTACATATTCCTCGTCTCATTTTGGGAAAGTTAGCTGCTTTAATATTGCAAGCAAGATAAATCAGTCCATTAATTTAATTTATTTGGTATTTTGTTCTGTCATGAATAATATTTTTGGATAGCTGTTGTATTTATCCATGCATGATACATTACCATGCATTAACAATTAGTAATGTACTGCATTTATGTAATGGTTCTTATTTATAAGCAACAACATGCCTAGGGTGACCATTAAAATAAAAGTGCTACCTGCAATTGTGAAAAAGAAGTGTGCTGAAATGTATTGATATGCATTTGTGGAGTACTTCAGATCTTAAACTGTATTTGCAGATAATATAATTTTAATAATAAAATTAAAGACAACTTAAGTGTACTTAAAGAGAGTGCACTTTCATGACTGTTTCTTGAGTCTTGAGTCTTCTTACACTTAAGTAAATTTTTAAAAAGTGTACTTTGTAATAATTAAAGATTAAAAGTTTACTTTAAAGTACACTTTAAATCATTATGCTTTCATATATTTTGCCATGCTTTAAAGAAGAACACTTATTTTTTATGCTTTGACTAACATAATCAAACATGTACTTGAAGTAGCCTACTTGATTATAATTTCAACTGTAGTGCGTTATTCAGTATTACATTTAGGCCTGGTTTCACAGACAGGGCTTAGACTAAACCAGGATTAGGCTATAGTTCAGTTAGGACATGTAAGTAATTTTTATAAATGTGCCTTAAAAAAAACATTACTGGTGTGCATTTTGAGATAAAATAAAGGCACTGATATATTTTTAAATCAGTCAGAGCAAGTTTCTTTCAGTTGAAACAGCTCAGACTTAGATTTTAGTCTGGGATTAGGCTTAAGCCTTGTCTGTGAAACCGGGGGATAAAGTTATATTTTAATTGTACTTAAACTGCAACTTCAGCATGTCATCACATTTGTAATTACTAATGTATTTAAAGGGGATATATGATGTTGCTAAAAATAACAATTTTGTGTATTTGGTGTAATGAAATGTGTTTGGGGACATAATTACGTCCTTTTCTTTTCTAAACACTTCAAAGAGAAAGGAAAAATTGAAATAGCATCATATGACCCCATTAAATACATGAAATTCCAATAGACTTGACAATGATGTGTATTTTAGTGTACCATAAATGTTTGTCAGTACATTGAGAAGTACATTTTAACCATTTTTCAAAGACAATTTAAGTAATTATGAAAGATATACTGATGTCCTACTTAAGTGGGTCAAAACAGCACTCAATTTCAGCTAATTGCATTTAATATACAGTAAATTTAAATTATAATACATATTCATTTAATTGCAGTTAACATGCAGTTAAGTGTACAAAAACATACATTCAGTTTGCACCTAAGTATATTTGCACAGTTTGCAATAAGTATATTGTTTCTGCAATAAGTACTCTTTTATGCTAAAGTGTACTTCTTTTTCACAAGGACACTGAATTTAAGATACGTGATTTCTGACAATAAAACAAACTAGTCCAAAAAGCACAGTGTCATGTGATGCCAATATCATGAGGATGTAACCTCAGCTGAATTAAGGAAGTATTGCTGGCAATTGAATGTTGAATATTTGGTTTACTTTTCGGTTCCCAGAAAAGTCTTGATTAAGCAGAGCAAAATTAAAGGAATTCTGTTTCTGATGGAATATTGCTGTTTTGAATGATGCAACTGTACAGCCTGTGCTCTGTATGTAGAAGATAGCTCAAGTCAAGATGAAATCAGAACTGGGAATATGTACTTTCGTTAATGCTTATTTATTGATTACTGGTCTTAATTTAAGTCACATTTATAGACAAACACAATGTGCCTAAACTAATAACATACAAACTGTTGTACTTTTCACATTTTTATCGAAGATACTGAATAATCATTCACAGTGCAGGGTGGAGAAAATAAGTGAACCTCTGTGTTACGATTTTTCGAAAAGCTTATTGGAGTCAGTCAGGAGATGATACTGGATGTGTAGGATGCACCAATGCCCTGGCCTTTAAATAGAGGCAAAAAGAAAAAAATACATGTTTTTTTCTGAGCCTTGACTTTAATCCAGTTGAGGCTTAAACTGTGGCATAACCTCAAGAGTGCTATCAAGCCAACCAAGGAATATTGATAAACTAAAATTTTCACACAATGACTGTGGGAAGTAATGGTCCAAACAGGTCGAAAGTTGTTTGGTGGAGGCTGTTGCTAAAAGAGGATCTATAAGTTCATGGTTTCACTTATTTTCTCCACCCTGCACTTACTCAATGTATCAATAAAATGAAAAGTATGATGGTTTGTGTGTTATGATTTCAGAGTCTTTGTATAATTGTGACAGAAATTAAGATCAGACGACATTTTATGTGTAAGCAATAGAAAAATCCAGATTTGCAGAAATCCAGATTTTCCAGCGGGTTCACAAACTTATTCTTAACACTTTATGTGGCTTGCAGTCTGGAGTTTAGCGAGCAGCATTACACTAAACTTAATGACTCACCAGCAATTCAACTTTCAACTGCCTTTTAACATTATAAGCAGTGCTTTACTGTTCCTCTAAAAGGAAATATGAAATAGAAAGGTCGCTGAGAGAGTGTTCAAACAACAGTATAAACACTTTATGCTGTGCAGAATAGTTTCTTGCAAATTAATGTACTAAACTCTCCCACATTATCTGTTATAGAGCGAAGCACGTGTGTGAGTAAGTGATGCCTGGTGTACCCTCGGCTCTGCTCACAGGCCTGCTCATTGTCAGACATTCTCTCTTTAATTATGTTTTGGAAACTTGTTCAACACAGCAATTACGTGTGAAGTGTTTCCACTGCAGACCATTTATACTGCAGCAGAATTGTTCTGTTGCTCCTTTACAAACAAGATCAGTATGACATGCCATTGTCGGCATAAAGTCTCCTGTCTAAAGAGCATGTAATAATGGAAACAATAATAAAAAGAATGCTACTATACTGACATGTGCAAATGCATTGTGCCTATAGTTTAACAGCAAACAGCATTCTTGTGTCACATGACCCACCTAGTTTAAGACATGCATCTGCAAAATGAGAGTTGTGTTTCTTCACTATATAAAGCCAACATTCCAGGAGACAAGTCATTATAATACTTTGGTGCATTTTAGTCCATTTTGGAGCTTGGCGGTTTGAATAACCATCCATTTTACTCTGAGACATGTTTCATGTCCTTTTATGTTTTAATAATGAGTGTCAGTTTTTTTTTTAATTATGTTTAAGTGAAGAATTCCTTGCAACTGAAATAGCCACAAATACTAACATGAGTGTCACAATCTTGGAAAACCGCGCTTTATGAAAAAAACAAAGAGATCCTGCTAATCAGCACATTTCTCTCAGCTCAGTGTAGATGTACAGTAAGTCAGCATTACTGTACATCTCTCTTTTCACAGAAATATAAACATATGGACATTATGCTTGATCATTCAGATCAGTCCTGGCAGTAAATTCATTGAAAACAACTGTCATGTTTTAAATATGTATGTATATAGAAAACCAATAAACAGTATACAAACACTTCTAGAGCTAACCCAATACGGTTGCTTGGATTTCTTGAGTGCAAGTGTGTTTT